CACGACCACCGAATTCGGGTCGGGATGATGCTTCAGCCACTCCAGCCCCTCATCATCGGTCCTGTACCAGGCCTCAATCTTCCTCGACGTCGGTGGGATGGACGACGGGGTCTTCCAGGAGCCCTGGATCACCTCCAGCAGGTAGGGGAGGAAGGGTAATAGAGTGGCTGGCGGAGCTTCCCTCTGCACCCTCTTGAAGACCGGGTCGGTCACTGCCTTGGAGGACTGCTTGACCTCCAGGCCCAGAGTCTCGGCCATACGAGCCATTTGGTCGGCGAAGGCTCGGACATTGTCGGTCGGGGAAGGCGGATCCACCTCATAGGCATCATGGGTGGGAGACTTTTCGATTCCAAGGGACAGCACCGACCCCGAACGCACCGATCCCGGCAGTTCGCCCTCTTCCTCCTCGTCATCAGGAGGCAGGGAACGTGGGGGTGGAGATGAAGAGGCATCCCGGCTCTGCAACTGAAGAGGCGGCGGTGGAGGGGCCTTCGAAGTTGAAGCCCGAATTGCGCTGGCTAGCCTCATGGTCTGCCTACCCCTTTCCGGGGTCTGAAGTACCGACTGGGTCTCCTGTATGGATGTCACAGTTGTCAAAGAGGCCACCGTCGGGAAAAGTTCCTGTCTCGCCGTCAGAAGCCGAGAAGAAGCTTCGATGACCGTGTCTACCGAAATCTCAGGGGACACGGGCTGCTCAGCAGGCAAAGGAGGAGGAGAGACAGGCTGCGGCTCTTGAGCAGGCTGTGGAGCCGGTTGCGATACGGTAGGCCGTACCGGTGACGATCTCGCCGAGGAGGAGACCGAGGAGGCAGTGCGCCGGTGAGAAGATGAAGAAGGTGATGGTGGAGGAGGCATCGTCCTCTTCCGCTTGGCGGGAGGCTGTGCTGTTTTAGCAAGAGACTTGCCCGGGGTGGGCGGTACGGGAGATGGGGAGGATGCACGTCGCGCCTCTTCCTGAGACCGACGGAAGGCGATTCGCACCGCCGTAGAAGATGGCGGCGTCGATGTCGACCTCGTGGAGACAGCCGACCTCACAGATGCCACAGAGCTTGTGGAAGAGTGTCGTATGCGCACGGTCTCGGTAGTGACCGATCGCGGAGGTGGCTGCTTCGCGGGCTTCGCAGGCCGAGGCGCCTTAGAAGCCATCGACGTCGAGGTCTTTGAGGCCGTCGACATTACAGCTCTTGGCCTCTTTTGGGCCACCTTCTTCCGACGGGTCGCGGCCGGTGCCGAGGAATCAACAGCAGCCGCTGTCGAGGTCGAGGGCCGGGACACCGTGGCCGATGTCGATGTCGACGCTGATGTCGAAGGTGCCGGAGCCAAAGCCTGTTGATACAAGAGGTACCGAAGACGATGCTCCCGGTTCTTTCTGGACTGTGCCGTCAAGGCCTGGCAATGACGACACGTCGATGTGATGTGCGCCTCGCCGAGGCACAGAAGGCAGAGTGAATGACTGTCCGAGTCAGGGATCTTCTTCGGACATCTCGAACACTTTTTGAAGCGAGTTGTTGACATAATCCGGTCAACAACTCGATATCGAAGAGAAGAAACGCTATCCAACACTATCCAACAATATCACTAACTATCCAAACCAACACAAGAAGCACCGAAGTGAGCCGTGCGGCGGAAAGAAAGGAATTGGAGCGGCGCCGCGGGGCGCC